ATCAAGCAAATCAACCACTTGCTGAAGATGTGCCCTGCTCAACACATTCTCTTAATCTTGTTGGGTCATGTGCTGCGGAGTGTTGTGTCGCTGCAGTTTCATTTTTTGGACTTTTACAAGCACTCTTTAATTTTTCTCTGCTTCAACGCATCGGTGGAGTATACTCAAGTCAACCATTCATGGAGATGTCATCAAATCATTATCAACAACAAAGGTGGTCAGCGCAGCATGATGCAACACATGCTTTGAAAGGACAGCTTTGCTGAAAATACGTTCTGCTTTGATCCAAATAGCAGAGGATGAAGACCAGACAGCAACTACAAGAAGCGAAGCAGCCAGCTTAGCATCAAAATTGGAAGATTTTGAATTGGCCTTACTCTGTGTGTCTGGGGACTGTATACTGGAACGGTTAAATGCCACGAACAAGACACTTCAGAAAATTGAAATTGAAATGGCTACTTGTGCTAAACCTCTATGCAGGCTTAGTGGAATTTGTAAGCTCACTTCGCAATGATGAAGCTTTTGAAATGTTTGAAGAGAAAGCTAAACTGCTGGTGAAAGACTACAGTTACTGGGCTGATCATCAGCGGTCAAGGAAGAGGAAACGCAATTTTGAAGAGCCAGACAATGAAATTGTGTTGCTACCAAGGCAGAATGTAAGACAGCTACATACTTGTCATTCTGGATTCACTGATTACAGAATTGGTGAAAAGAAAAGAAATCTACCAGAATCTCAATGACAAGTTTGGATTTCTGTTCAAAATTATACTACTATGCCAGATGCAGAATTAGAGAGAAGCTGCATTAAAGTTGCAACAACACCTTTCAGCGATGTTCAGGACACATTTGTTGAAGAAATAGTTCATTTTTCTGGGTATATGAATCAGATTAAGCTCCACCTGAAAAATGTGCGCCCTCAGCTGCTTTGAAACATTTAAGAAATGCAGGTATCTCAGAAACCTTCCCTAATGTTGACATAGTGTATCACCTTTACCTAACACTTCCAGCTACTAACTGTGAAGGAGAACGTTCATTTTCTGTTTTGAAAAGAGTGAAAAACCAGCTCCTTCAACAATGAGCCAAGACAAATTGTGTACCTAGCCTTGTTGCCATGAGTCTGATCTAACAAGAAATATTGATTTTCAGAATATAATTGTGATTTTGCCAATATGAAATCCAGAAAAAAGTTTATTTAAGAAGTGCCTGTGAATATAAACAATTCTTTACTTTCTTGAGTTTATATGATTTGATAGTCTTGTGCATGATGCAATGATAACAATAATGGTCAGTGATTTATAAAGGGAATAATAGTGATGTAGTGGTTATGCTGAATATAATAGGTACATGATGTCACTACTTTAATAGCCTAATCTAGTAAATATGCTGTTTGAGTTTTCTCTTAAAATGCATGATTTAACAAGATAGTTATAATGGCTGTTGGTAAATGGTTTTGGTTGTCTTGATGTACTTTCCCTATTAAATTTAATCTAAATAGCCAGAATGTATTTAATTAGACCTTAAACAGGCTCACACCGACCCCCCCCCCCACCCCCAAGCTGGAAAGGGTCGCTTCGCTTACCCGTAACTCAAAGGGGCCCGCAATCTGAATAGCCTAGGGCCCGGAGACTTTAATCCGGCCCTGCCCAGGATAACAGGCTTTATTGTTCCTGGGTTGTAATATAGGTGAAATATCGGAGCCCTTAAAGAGTGCAGACATAGCTCCTTTGCATAAGGGAGGTAGTAGAGTACTAGCTGAAAATTACAGACCAATAGCCCTAACTTCTCACATCGTACCCCTCAAGGAAGGTTCCTTGATATTGGTGAGGGGCTCTTGATTTAGGGAATTGGATCTGTGCTCCAGTTCCCCGAATTAAGCCTGAATGCCTTCCACATCCCCCCCCCCAGGCGCTGTATAATCCTCCGGGTTTAGCGCTTCCCCCTTGATTATAATAATAATAATAATTCTCACATCGTAAAAATCTTCGAAAGAGTGATGAGACGGCAGATTACAAATTTCATGGACCAGCATAACCCGAACCAGCTTGGTTTTAGAGCAGGACGATCATGCCTGTCACAGCTGCTGAACCATTATGACAGAATTACGGAGGCATTGGAAGACGACCAAAACGCATATGTGATTTACACAAGCTTAGAGAGGGTGTTTGACAAATGCGATCATCGAGTGACAGCGCACAAAATGAAAGTCCATGGGCATTACGGGGAAGGTAGGCAGATGGATTTTCGGGTTCCTAACACACAAACACAAAAAGTTAATAACGAACAGGGCAATACCCAGCAACAGCGAGGTCAAAAGCTCAGTGCCCCAATGTGCTGTCCTGGCACCTCTGCTGTTTCTCATCCTCATAGCAGACATAGACAAAAACACCCGGCACACTTTTGAATCATCATTTGCAGATGACACTAAGAAAAGCATGAAAGTCACTACGGTAGAGGCCACTGAAAAAGTACAGGAAGATATAAACAGGGTTGTCCGGTGGGCAGTGGAGAAAACATGACGTCAGTGGTGATACGTTCAGCTGCTTAGATATGGAAAAGAATGAACTCGAAAGGAACACTATACATACAAAACTCAAGAGGGTCACCAAATAGAATGTAAGAAACGCGCAAAAGACCTGGAAATAATTGTTAGCGGACCTTTATAATAATATAATATCTTTATTTCTACAAGTACATGTACAAGATATACAGGCCTAGCTGACATCAATGACATACTATTGTGAACATCAAAATGGTATACAATACCGACAGGTTGGTAGGTAGACACATAGGCAACAGTTAGGCAACTTTATTCCGAAACGTTTCGCCTACACAGTAGGCTTCTTCAGTCGAATACAGAAAGTAGGCAGGAACAGTAGAGATGTGAAGACGATGTAATCAGTCCATCTTCAAGGGTGATGGACTGATTACATAGTCTTCACATCTCTACTGTTCCTGCCTACTTTCTGTATTCGACTGAAGAACCCTACTGTGTAGACGAAACGTTTCGGAACAAAGTTGCCTAACTGTTGCCTATGTGTCTTACCCACATACTATTTATAGAAATCCCCTTGTTATGCTGAGAATTTCGGGCAAATTAGGTCAGTTTTTGTCCCAGGATGCGCCCCCACACCAGTCGACTAACACCCAGGTCCCCATTTTATACTGATGGGTGAACATGGACAGCAGGTGTTTATGGAAACACGTCCTAATGTTTTCCAGCCATACCGGGGTTTCGATCTCCGGCCCCTCAGAGTGTGCTAGCGATCACGACACGATAGCCGGGAAAGATGACAGGGTGGGTTTTGAGAACTTTCAAAACAAGGGAAATAATGCCGATGGTGACACTCTTCAAATCCCCTAGTGCTCCGATATTTCCCCCTCAGGAGAAATATCGGAGCTGGAACAAATACAGAGATCGTTTACGGCCGACCTAAACTACTGGGAACGCCTGCAGGTCTTGAACATGTATTTAATGGAGCGGAGGAGAGAGATACATGATATATACCTGGAAAATACTCGAGGGCCTGGTCCCAAATCTGCACACTGCCATAACATACTGGAGTGAGAGATATGGGAGGTATGTGTACTCATTTATATTTTTTTTTTTGTGTGTGTGTGTGTGACCCTATAATTAATATTTGCACCAATAACTCAATACAGTTGTGACCGGGTGTGGATGTGTGAATTGCTCATTACTCTATAATTTGTTCATGATTGTAGCCATGTATAAACATAAGTAAGTAACTTTACTTACAGGATCATTACCTTTGTAACTTGTGAGTTCATTACCTTTGTACCTAGTTCAGCTATCAAAACTTTGGGGGCCCCTGGACCCATTATGCACCTCTGTAATCTGTAAATACCTTTGTAACTTGTCATGATTGTGACCAGATCAACCTGGAGTTCATTACCTTTGTAACTTGTTCAGCTATCAAAACTTTGGGGTCCAGTCCCTGGACCCATTATGTACCTCTATAATCTTTTGGCTACCGCCCGCAGGATGGGTATGGGGTGCATAATAAACATACTAAACTAACTAAAGGAGGAAGTGTAAAATAAACCCAGTGAGCAGCAGAGGTGCGGTGTTTACCTGGAGAGAGTTCCGGGGGTCAACGCCCCCGCGGCCCGGTCTGTGACCAGGCCTCCTGGTGGATCAGAGCCTGATCAACCAGGCTGTTGCTGCTGGCTGCACGCAAACCAACATACGAGCCACAGCCCGGCTGGTCAGGAACCGATTTTAGGTGCTTGTCCAGTGCCAGCTTGAAGACTGCCAGGGGTCTGTTGGTAATCCCCCTTATGTATGCTGGGAGGCAGTTGAACAGTCTCGGGCCCCTGACACTTATTGTATGGTCTCTTAACGTGCTAGTGACACCCCTGCTTTTCATTGGGGGGATGTTGCATCGTCTGCCAAGTCTTTTGCTTTCGACAATAAGGGAACACTGTATCAACATCCAGGGTCCCAGACTATTCAATATCTTACCAGAAGATAACAGAAACATGGTTGGAACAAGTGTAGAAGCCTTCAAGAGGAAACTGGACAAGTATCTTCACCAGGTAAACTCCAGGTGCCAGATTAACCAGGCTGTGATGGATATGTGGGGCAGTGGGCCTCCAGCAGCAACAGCCTGATTGACCAGGCAAGCACCAGACGAGCCTGGCCCATGGCCGGGCTCAGAGAGTAGATTAACTCTCGAAACTCTTCAAAAGGTATATCAAGGGTATTGGATTATTGTACCTGAATTCTTCTTGATGACTGGGCCGGTGCATATTTAACCACATACGGCATTCTTCTCTTATAAAAGTATTTGTTGCTAATGTTTCCCAATATAACAATTTGCCCAAAAAATAAATATGTTTACCGGAGTCTGGACACCTTGCTTGTATAATAACAAACAAGTACATGGATGAATTCCGCCGAGGAGGTCATCTAGATATTGTCCCAATCAACTAACTCCCAGGTACCTAGTTACTGCTGGGTAAGAGGGTTACAGGGTATTCACCTGGTAGTCAAGTTATCCAAGGTTTCAGAGCCCTCATCACCATGTAGGAGGGCTTTATTACGCCGAGTGTTTGCAGTAGTAGCAGCACCATTAGTAGCAGTAGTACTAGTAGTGTTAGGAAGCTGTGGAATTTTCACCACCAAGGCAGCTACACCACACTGAGGCAGAATCACACTGTCCTCCGGCGTTTTGTCACTTACTGCAAATATATAAATATATACATAATGTAGCGATGAACCCAATGTAAGTCGTTATAATTGACTGTCAGTGGATAAACAAAAAGATGAAGAATAAGACACTTGTGTAACATTTGGGAATCTTTACTGAGGAAACGTTTCGCCAGCCAGTGATTTCTTCAGTCCAATACAGAGAACTGCGGTAGCATGGACCCCAATGGAAATAAGGACCTCGACAGAAACACAGACCCCAATGGAAATAAGGACCTAATAGAAATAAGTAAGGATTCCAATGGTAATAATGACCCCATTGGAAATTAAGGACCCCTATGGAAATTAAGGACCCCAATGGAAATAAGTAAGGATCCCAATGGAATTAGGTAAGGACCCCAATGGAAATAAGTAACTACTCCAATGAAAATAAATCAGGACCCAAATGGAAATAAGTAAGGACCTCACTGGAAAGAAGGACCCCAATGGAAAAAAGTCACTGTCTGACTTTTTGGGGTTATCCCAGATTCTCTACACATATGCTGCTATGTATGATAATCTATGTAACTGTATTTGTGTATACCTGAATAAACTTACTAAAAAAGTCACTTTGACATTTTTGGGGTTATCCTAAGTAAATTACACTTAGTTATGCTTATAATAATATACCTAAACATACATCCCCCAATGAAAAGCAGGGGTGTCACTAGCACGTTAAGAGACAACACAATAAGTGTCAGGAGCCCAAAACTGTTCAACTACCTCCCAGCATACATAAGGGGGATTACTGATAGACCCCTGGCTGTCTTCAAGCAGGCGCTGGACAGGCACCTAAAGTCAGTACCTGACCAGCCGGGTTGTGGTTCGTACGTTGGATTACGTGCGGCCAGCAGTAACAGCCTGGTTGATCAGGCCCTAATCCACCATGAGGCCTGGTCACAGACCGGGCCGCGGGGGCGTTGACCCCCGGAACTCACTCCAGGTATACATGTCCAGCTCTTTACCACTGAGTTCCGAGGTTTCTGATATGAGGAAACAGGGCGAACACAGTTCGAGTCTCCCGCCCATCTTAGAATGTTGAGAAATGAACCAGACTGTTACAATGAATCTTACCAAGTGTCTAGAGGTAAATACACACAGATCTAAATGGATTGTGAAAACGTGCAATTGCATTAAGTTTTATAACCTGCATGAACTGTATCACTGTAGACAACAAGAGCATTTCACCCCTCCGTGGAAGATGTGTTCATTTAATATCACATACCTACAAGTCCCTCCCAAGAAGCTCATTGCTAGTAATCCCTTCCTTAAATCACTTGTTAAAGCAACGGCTCAAGAAGAAATTTCTCGCCTAGCTGGCAGTAATAAGTTATTACAAGTTATATACACTGATGGACCTAAACAGGAGTCTTCTGGCAGGGCTGCATGTGCTCTTGTTGCCACCTCCCTAGTTAAGAACGATAATAAACTTGAACTAGGCATAAGATCTACCTGGAGTTCATTACCTTTGTAACTATTTCAGCTATCATAACTTTGGGGTCCAGTCCCTGGACCCATTATGTACCTTTGTAATCTTTTGACTACCGCCCACAGGATGGGTATGGGGTGCATAATAAAGATGTTAAACTAACGAATTAACAACTGGGCGTCTACACTGCAAACTGAATTGTTTGCTATCCTAATGGCGCTAAAGCTAGCCTATGACACCGAGCTTGACTCTATCATCATTACTGATTCTATGTCATTGAAGGCTCTTGACTCATATAATGACCCCAATGACATGCTCATTGGAGAAGCCAGGTATAGATATTCAAAAATCAGGGACAAAGAAATTAATGTACAGTTGCTATGGATCCCATCACACATTGGATTACTCATTCATGATAAAGTTGATATGTTAGCCAAGAAGAGTACCCAGAAGGAGAATGTAGAATATAACTATGGTATAACTGTGTCTAGCATTAGGAATAATATTAGGAGAGAAGTAAATAATGAAAATGATTGTTATAGGAATGCAATTAGAAGCCTGAGTAGATCTATAGCCCACTATGATAACATGAACGTAGATAAGTATGTTTATAGAGCAACGTGCAATGTGAACAGACTGACTGATGTTGTAGTGGCCAGGCTTAGGCTTGGTTACAAGTACTTCTGGCAGTTTGGGAGACACACAGATGATGATCACACTAAATGTAAATTATGTGATCAGGCATATAGTCACTGTCTTGAACACTACGTGCTTAATTGTCCACTTATTGAGGAATACAGAGACAGACAGTATAATAACCTATGTGACATGTCAAGATATCTTATTAATGAAAAGAAGATACCAGATATACTAAGCAAATTTCCTAAATTTGCTTGTAACAGATAAGTGAACTATAGATATGTAAATATAAATCCATATGTATTTATGTTAACCCCTTGGGGGCCTAGTTCCTAGGCCTTTTGTGTATCCATATGCTCTCGCGCTACCGTCCACAGGATGGACATGGGGTGCACAGTAAACTAGCCACATCGGTGGCAAAATCTAAATCTTACTATTTGTTCAATGTGGTGATAATATATAATGTATTTGTAGTGTGTAAAAGTGTAAATTAACAATGACCCTAATGGAAATAAGCTACAGTGACTTTACTGGGTTATCCTGTGTTGTTTACATAACGAATATGACACTGGTATATAGTATCGTCAAGTTGATAAGTAGGACATGTGCAACAGTTAGGCATCTTTATTCTGAAACGTTTCGCCTACACAGTAGACTTCTTCAGTCCAGTACAGAAGAGTTAGCAGAAGCAGTAGAGAAGTGAAGACGATGTCATCAGTCCATCACCCTTGAAGACGTAGTTATGAGGTGGTCAGTCCCTCAGCCTGGAGAGGAGTTCTGCTCCATAGTCTGGAACAATGTTCCAGACTGAGGGACTGACCACCTCAAAAGCACGTCTTCAAGGGTGATGGACTGATGACATCGTCTTCACTTCTCTGCCGCTAACTGAAGAATTGAGACACTTATGCAACATATGGGACTCTTTATTGAAGAAATGTTTCGCCACAAGAACATAAGATTTCGTTCGGATTTTTAACCCCGGAGGGTTAGCCACCCAGGATAGCTCAAGAAATTCAGTGCGTCATCGAGGACTGTCTAACTTATTTCCATTGTGGTCCTCAATTTTGTCCCCCAGGATGCGACCCATACCAGTCGACTAACACCCAGGTACCTATTTGCTGCTAGGTGAACAGGACAACAGGTGTAAGGAAGTGTCGGAATGTTTCCACCCGCAGGGAATCGAACCCGGGCCCTCCGTGTGTGAAGCGGGAGTTTTAGCCACCAGGCCACCGCCACCGGGCCACCGACACCAGGCCACCGCCACCGGGCCACCGCCACCGGGCCACCGCCACCGGGCCACCGACACCAGGCCACCGCCACCAGGCCACCGCCACCAGGCCGCCGGGCCACCGTCACCTGGCCACCGCCACCAGGCCACCGCCACCAGGCCACCGGGCCACCGCCACCAGGCCACCGCCATCAGGCCACCGGGCCACCGCCACCAGGCCACCGCCACCAGGCCGCCGGGCCACCGTCACCTGGCCACCGCCACCAGGCCACCGCCACCAGGCCACCGGGCCACCGCCACCAGGCCACCGCCACCAGGCCACCGACACCAGGCCACCGCCACCAGGCCACCGACTCCAGGCCACCGGGCCACCGACACCAGACCACCGACACCAGGCCACTGCCACCAGGCCACCGACACCAGACCACCGCCACCAGGCCACTGCCACCAGGCCACCGGGCCACTGCCACCAGGCCACTGCAACCAGGCCACCGCCACCAGGCCACTAGGCCACGGGGCCACACAGTGGCTTCATCAGTCCAATACAAAGCAGGAAGGTATAAGGAGAGGAGGAGTTTGAGGTAATCAGTCCCTGCAACTCCTCCTTCCTGCTTTGTATTAAACTGATAAAGCCACTGTGTGGGCGAAACGTTTCTTCAATAAAGATTCCCATATGTTGTACAAGTGACTCAGTTCTTCAACTTGTCAGTTTTCAAAACCATTCATCACTAACTGAAGAAATCTACTGTGTGGGCGAAACGTGTCAACGTTTCTTTAGGTCAGTGTATTTAAGAACATAAGAACGAAGGAACACTGCAGCAGGCCTACTGGCCCATGCGAGGCAGGTCCAAGTCTCCTACCGGCTTAAGGCAATGCACCCAACCTAGTCAGGTCAGGTCTCATTGGCGGATGCGGTCCGCGTTTTATCGACATTTTTTTTATGAACCGATTACGTTCATTTTTGGTGTACTATTAGAAGGTTATATCGAGTATCCTGTGCTGAAGTTTCAATCATATCGGCCAAAAAGGAAATGAAATATGCAAAATTTACGAAAAATTACATTTGGCAGCGGAGTCCTACTCAGTGGTACTTGGAAAAGTGGTTTTGACACTTGCTGCTGATAGAACACCTCTAATTCCATCAAATGTCGTTTTGAATTCTAAAATAAACCTTATCTTCATGCTAAAAAAAAAAAATAAAGTTTCATAACTTTTTTGATATATTGGAAGATGTCGGCCTTGTTGTCCACATAAATCTAAAAATATTTTGGATAGTTCAGAAACATGAACGCTACCTTGTCAAGCAATCATTCTCCTATGTTTGTTGTGAAAATCAAGTCAATTCAATCATAAATAAAAATGGATTGTCCCTAAATAGGTAAATAATTTACTTTCGAGATATAGGCCGAAGCGCGCGGCACCCCAGCTGCCCGGGAAATAATTTTTTTCCCCGAAAAATTCGCTTTATTTTACACTTTTTGCGTGACCTACGAGTGTTTATTACAGTTAACCATTGTAAATCCGTTTTCTCTCATCACTGATGAGAGAGGTCGGACCCTCTCTTCCCCTTTCAGGGGAAATATCGATAGAAATTTTTTCCTCGGGGCGTCATATTATGCTATATATTTTTTTTAAGGTGTACTTTTTATGTTTATATGCTATTATTATATGCATTAAAATCAAATAGATCAATTGTGATAGATAAATAAGCCTTATAATTGATATTAGCGTGGGTATGGAATATTTTGTTGGCTGGAGGGTGTCGGCCATTTTGTGCACTATTCCAAGGGGTTCCGATTGGTGCCTTGACCATATTAGCTCCGCCCGCTCGGAATGATCTCAGATGGTGAATTTGTATTATATTAGACATAAAGATATAAGAAAACGATAAAAATAACACGGGGAAACACGTAACAAAAACGTAAACAAAGCCGAGTCAGCGCTTCTTACGCAATATGTTGCGTCAGCG